CGGATAAAAATCCAGCTGAAGCTTCTAGCTACCGTCCAATAAGTTTGCTTTCTTCAATAAGTAAACTTTTTGAAAAAATAATTTTGAATAGAATGATGCTTCACATCAATACGAACTCAATTTTTGCAGATGAGCAGTTTGGATTTCGCCATGGGCATTCAACTACTCATCAACTCTTGAGAGTTACCAATTTAATTCGTTCAAACAAATCTGAAGGCCACTCAACTGGAGTTGCTCTTCTAGACATAGAAAAAGCATTCGACAGTGTTTGGCATGAAGGTTTGATTGCTAAATTGAAAAAATTTAATTTTCCACTTTACATTATGAAATTAGTTCAAAATTATTTAACTGACAGAACTCTGCAGGTAAATTATCAAAATTCCAAATCTAATCGACTACCTGTTAGAGCAGGAGTTCCTCAGGGTAGCATTCTTGGGCCTATATTGTATAACATTTTCACTTCGGACCTCCCTGATTTGCCTCAGGGTTGCCACAAATCTTTGTTCGCTGATGACACAGGCATTTCCGCTAAAGGAAGAAGTCTTCGTGTTATTTGCAGCAGACTTCAGAAAAGTTTAGATATTTTCTCTTCTTATTTACAAAAATGGAAGATTTCTCCCAACGCTTCCAAAACTCAACTTATAATATTTCCACATAAGCCCAGGGCTTCCTTTTTGAAACCTAGTAGTAGTCACATAGTCACTATGAACGGAGTTCCAATTTCCTGGTCAAACCAAGTGAAATATCTTGGATTAATACTTGACCATAAATTAACTTTTAAAGATCACATTGAGGGCATTCAAGCCAAATGTAACAAATAGGGCTACGGTATGTAATGTGGGTCTAGTCCTTTCATTCGGCCTATCACGCAAATAAATAATTAATTAAGGAATATTACACAAAAAATAAGGAAAATATTGATCACTGATGGTTGATAAATGTGTACCACACACAAATCAATTTATATCACAACATTTCAATACATTTTCAGCTCTCGTAAGTAATAAAACTGGTTGAGAATATCACAATGTTCGGAGTTTTTAGCCGCCATGACTTATAAGGTTAAGATGGGAAGGTTGACTGACGATCATCAAATGGCCTGATTATGGCATTTATTGATTGGAATTACCTGATAATACACACTAGACGTAAAACTTACAGTTGCTGTTTGAATATTTTATGTTTATTTTAATTGTTTAACAACGTTTTCACAAGTAAAACATGGACCCAACTTTAGGGACACATTTCTTTTCTATGTTCCTAACTATGACCCATGAAATTCATTTGACAGCATATAGCAATAAGAGTAACGTCAACAATGTTGTTTTGCATTTGGATGATAAGGAACGAACAGGAAGGGAGATTTTTTCTGCCAAACCTGTATAATGAACATCACAATGTTCTGATTTAGATATTCTGCGGTCAAAAGACGATAAGCGAAATTTTTAATTTTTAATTTTTAAATTGAGTGATTTAATGTAGTTTTCGTAAAATTTTCTCTAAGAAATGTTTTGAGGAATGAAGAGCATTAAGTTAACAGTGATAGTGATAAAAAAATACATCAGAAAACGTTACCAAGAGCGTTTTTTGAGGATCAAACAAGATAGGACGAAGTTGCATCCATAAATAGACCCAATTTGGGGACAATAGACCCATATTACATACATTTCCCTCGTGAGTTATTGTCTTAAAAAAAGTAAGTTTTTCAACTTTTCGTGGTTTCTGATAGCAAACGACATGATAAGCATATCTAAGCATACCATTTAGCAGTAGAATATCGTTTGCAGGTAAATTCATTGATGAGTTATGATTAAAAACGTAATCGATGGCTGCATATTAGACCGAGGTTAGGGACGTATACCCTATATAAAATGTTTGTATCCTCTTATAAACAGGAAATCCAAACTTTGCCTGACGAATAAACTTCTAATATTTAAACAAGTTTTTAGACCGGCCATGCTTTACGCTGTGCCAATATGGTCTAGTTGTTGCACTACCAGGAAAAAAGCACTTCAAAGGATTCAGAACAAAATTCTGAAGATGATTTTGAAGTTGCCTCCCTGGTACAGTACTACCGAAGTACATAGAATTTCGAATGTTGAGACTTTAGCACAAATGTCCAACAAAATAATTAATAATTTCCGGCAAAAATCGTTACAATCCTCAATTGCAACGATTAATTCCCTTTATACTTAGATAAGATTTAGTTTTAGTTATTTAGTTTTAAGCTATCAATTGTTATACTGACATGCAGGTTTAAAAAAACCTGTTTAAAATACTGAATTGCCAAGACAGGAACAATGTAAAAACACTTAGATATACATCATAACAATTAAGGCTGGTAAGTTACTGTAGTAACTGGAGCACCTAGGTTAAAAATGAAATGTAATTTATTTTGAATTTGGAACAAATAAAGAGTTAAAAAAAAAAAAAAAAAAAAAAAAAACAAAGAGAATTGCAAATTTGATCACAAATCAATCCTTATTGACTATTTTATCAAGAATATTTCCCCTGATTTCATGAAGTAAAAACTGCCGTTCCAACGGCAATTGGTTTTCCTCAGCCCATGTGATGATAGTGTCAATACTATTCAGCGCTGATTGATCTGGAACAGGTTCGTACTCCTCATCTTGGTTGTCATTTTCTGTAGAAATGTTTGCAGTTTCATCCAGAGTGGTGTTCGTCACGCTTTCTCCTTCATAAAAATGTGAATCATGGTTAAGAACAGCATTGACTATGTCAGCATCAGACATGACATCGAATTCCGCATTCTCGTCTTCATTTTCGCCTGCAGTCACTTTATCAGCAACCATCAGTTGAATTGTTACACTATCATCCCTAGAGCACCGGAACTAATATTTGCAATGTTAACATTTAAAAAAAATATTAATGGAAAATGGTCGAAATTGATCGAGTGCGTCAAGTTAGGAACCGCGTCAAATATGGTGCCTTCACGGTAGCCGTGATTTTTAGCCAAGCTCAACTTTGTCTCTACACACTCGTGAGAGTCGCGAGACTACGATTCGCTTCTCAAGCGGATGGTCCATGGGTTCAATTCCATTGATCTTCTTATCGAATGTGCCTCATGATAGGTTATTATTCAAGTCTGGTTCTGGCCACTTTTCCGGAGGCACTCGGAACTTGCCCGGAAGTGGCCAATATGGTCCAAGGTACTTAATTTTTTCCACCATTGACCATAGCCTCATGGCCCATAAACTTGTTCCGGCGATATCTACAAAACCAGTGGTCCGATTCCATAATCCTTCAATAGCGTTCAATGGGACCACTAAAAACATTAAATGAGACCACATAAGACCAACAAAAAATTTTTTTTTATGACTCGATTATCCGGAGTGAAATTTTTTTCAAGACTCCGGATAATCGAGTCCGCCCTGTATAGCATTTTCACTCAATTTAAAAAGATGGTGATTAGCAATGAAAATAGAATATAGTGCGTTAGCGAGAGATAACAATTAAGTTACTTGAGCAAAATGCCATCAAAAGTTCAAAAGTGCTTACAGCAAATTATTTGTGAGAAAACAATGTGTAGAAAGTTAATTGCAACATTGAGAATAGTGTCTTCCAGGGCTGTAGAGTTGGAGTTGAAGAAGAAGTACCTCTGACTCCGACTGTTATGAACAAATAATTTAAAACTAGAACCTAATTTGGTCCACGAGTCGCTTTTTTTGGGTCATGACAGATTGGATTGGCGCAAAGGCAGTCCTAACCTTCTTGATTCGTCCAATTACTTGGTACCACCGTCTATCGCTATGTGGCTGCCACTTTTTCAATGTGATTTATGTTGCTTTAAACCAGAACGTTTGGATATTCCGTCTTTTGAAAGATTAAAACAACTACAGGAAGGAATCATCGAGATATAGAACATGAACAAGGCTATTAAGGCTAGACCGTTTGAAGGCATCGGGATAACCATCGACATGTATGTATGTATGTAAGATAGCCATCATCCATTCGAAGATCTTGTCTTGTATGCAGCTCCACTTAATTACAAGTTCAATTTGAGCTACCGATCTGAATTCACAATATCACTGTATGAAGGGCCAAAACGGAGGGGTGGACCCGTAAGCAAAGACACTTACGCGAAATCCACGAGAATTTAAGAATCTCCTTCCAACGATACGATCCAACAAATCGAATAACGCAATTCGCATTATTAAGCTTCCTACAGGATGGTTTGTTAAGAAGGTTGCGTCAATCTCGCTAAAACTGTTGGAGTAGATCGGGATAACCATCGACATATAGCAAAATATTAAGCATCGAAATAAAAAGAGTTGACTGTATATGTTTTCTTAACCCAGAACTCTATCAAAATGCGTTTTAAAAACTGGCGGAAGCAATTAGGGCTCAGGAAGAACGTTCATTTCTCCGTGTCCCTTATCTTTCACCAACCATGCCGAATAATCAATCCACTGACATTTTCGTTGCATTAAATTTTCATTAGTCAAATGTTTGTTCGTTACTTCCGAAAACTAAACACATCAAGAACAACATGTGAAAAGGGCATACAAGCTTTTTGTAAACAAACCTTCTTATGCTCTTTTCTCGCCACCTATATGACTCCAACGCAAACCATCAACATTAGCGGGTAGGAGAAGCATTCCCCTTCCCGATGATATTGTTGGTTTGCGTGAGCGACCCTCGGTTGGCGAGAAAAGGGCATAAGAAGGTTTGTTTACAAAAAGCTTGTATGCCCTTTTCACATGTGGCTCTTGACATATTCTATGGAATGCATTAATTTGTCCACCTCCATCATGTCATGTTGACATAGAAATCAGCTGTTCAGCCCACACTCAATCCGTCTCCGAAGAACTCAATTTTTCACGCATGCTACGAACATGAAATTCATTCCAACCTCCAGAAACCCTCCAACTATGGAACGAATGGAAAATGCACTCATGAACCACCAAGAAACGCGATAGCAGGATCCATGGCACACTTTGTCGATGTCGTCCTCCAGTCTCGGTTGGTTGTTCGTTCGGTTCGGATCGGAAGAGGAAAAGTTGGAAAACTCGGTCATGCTTCTCTCTCACACTGAAGTAAAAGTGAGTGCACGTGCAACCGTTTCCCATTAGGGTGGTACTGAATGAGCGTTGTTTTTTCTTCTATTCATTCATGTTTATATTGATTGCAGCGAGGATCAGTGATACTAAAGTTGTATTGAATAGATAAAAAAAAGTATTTTGGATACAGGAAGATAAGTGATGCAACCAAGGATGGAATATATAACGGTTGCGTAGCAGTATCGATAATCGCATTTGTAATCCAATTAAGTGAAATTTTCCGGAGAAATTGATTTCCACTGAAAGAAGCAAAATACGTGTTAATAATATAATACAAAAAGGAAATACAACCACAAGTAACAAAGCGAATCCGTTTTTTTTATCTCCGTGAAACGAAGGCAATAAAGTGTTTTAATGAATAGAGGTCATTAATGTCTTACGGATACAGTGTTGCAACACAGTCAAAAGGATTATCCATGGCCAACTTGAGGATTACCATGACCCGGATGCATTTCGGATTAAATTTCATCATACTGATCATCGGTGAGTGTCCCATCGATGGAATTCGTGCAACACAGACGTGTAGGCACTGACCTGACATCGACGGAAAACATGCCTCCGAACGAAAAGTGCCGTTCTGTTCTAATTGAATTTGTGCAGTGGGAAACAAGGGAAAACAAAATTTAAACCGGTGCCACAATGGAAGAAAAACAAAAACATGTACCGGGGAGTGACGAAAATAAAAACGGTCTGGAAACTCGCAATTCGATATGTCTCAAGGTCATGTTGCAGTGAACAAAATTTGAACTGTGAAATGAGTCAAAGCGGTTGGAATGTGTGAAGTCGTAAATATGAAGTGTGTGTGTGTGACAATCTTTGTGTCTCAGAAGGCGGTGCACGTCCAACAGAACCACAACAGGAAACGATTAGTTGCCTACTGGGATGCACTTGCTGTGTGGCACGCGCCTTTCTACCGGAAAACAACACTCACAATGCAATGGAAAGCAAAAGAGAGGAACAATTAATTACAAATGAAGCTAAGCCGTCGTTTCCTCTTACAGTCTGTACTGAAGGATGATTGATCGTAATTTGATGTGGCTGAAAATCGTCCGGGATTTGGTTGTATTTTTAGCTCAGCTAGTACAATTTTGCAGAAGATAACGATTCCTGATTGATGGAATGGGGAGAAGGATTTTTTGCATCAGAAAGCAAAGCGTAATTTGATTTTCAATTGGATTATCGTTAGAGGTTTTTTTTTCTGATGATTCAAACATAAAATTACCCTATTTTGAGCAGTTCATGATTCATTAAAATATTAATAAATTCTGTGTTTGAAACTCGGGAAACATTTTTCTTTTCAAAGGCTAGTTCAATCCAACCACGGCCGTTAGCTCCTTTTGTTCAAACGCAAAACAATGTGTTCCAGTAAGCTTGAGGCTGCTCAGTATCGGAATACCTCCCGGCATTCAGCACATTCCATACGATACCTACCTTTCTCGGAAAGTTTGCTGCTTCATTCAACTTTTCCATATTCGAAACAACGGCTTTTGTTAACCCATTCGTGTGGGCCCTACGCAAACAGAAATCACAACGACCGCATCGTAGTTGGCTGTACGGCCAAGGAAAAATATCGTTTTAGCTTAGCCTCAGGCATCCGACTAACACCACGGCCGTTGAATTCGACTCAAATTCGCAAAAACGCAAGTCACTCGCAGGTAGACTGACCTTTCTTTTTAAACAATCTGCTCGAATAGGAGAAAAATCGACGACAGTAGACTAAGTAGAGTAAGTAAATTCAGATATTTGAGGAATATTTTCGAACATTTTACTCAGTCTAGTATCGGGACCAGCGTTTTAGCGAATTCGAGTAAAAAGAGCTCAAATTTGAGTCGGTTTCAAAGGCCGTGCAGAGTACCAGTTTAGAGGAATGAAAATGTTTATGATCAGCCTAGCTCGCTTCTAAGGTTAGTGGAAAAGCTCGGAGCAAAACCACAAATGGCTGCAATTTATCCCACCTACCTTTGTGATTTTGCTACGGTGAGGTAACCAAGTTCGAGACGGCGAGAAGTATTATAAATTCACTCCTTTGTGTCGATTCCTTTGGATACTGCAATCTTTCGAGTGAAATATTGGCGGGATAGTGGGGATTATTTTTATTATAAATTTATTCCATCTCCACGAAGGTGCTTCAACGGAAGCTGCCGCCAAATCAAATAGACGAAATAATGTTTTGATAGGATAAATCACACATCTACCGAACGAAAGATAAACTACGCTACCACTATCTGCACAAAGGCTTTATTTGCTTTTCATCTTTCGTCTTCCATCCACTCTGCAGTCACTTCAGAGAGCCTTCTGAACTCGACTACACTCAACCGTGAGATTTTAAGCTAGGTTTATCCACGTACTCAGTCCGTTACCATCACCCCGGAGCCCGAGTGGAGAAGTGCAAGAGTTATTAAAATCGAGCTTATTTTTACCACTCTTTTCGCCAACTATGGCTGCAGCCATACAGAAGGAGGCACGCCATTTTTCACTTTTCCGGTCAGTGCTTTTTAATTGCCAGCGATTCGGGCGAAGCATTTTTCATCTTCTCGTTGGAGATGGTAACGACACGAACGGATTTCCACTACGTTGAGTCGCTAAAATATAGCAGAAGTTGGACATACAGATGAGTGCTAGAGTGTTTTGCGGTTACTACCGAAGCAACGTTACAAGTTAACAAAATATAAAATAAAAATCATTTACGGCATTCTTCATCTACAAGACTTTAAAGAATCAGATTTCTAAGAGGTTTTTGAGTGTGTTGATTTATTTCCTTTTATTTTTTAATTGTTTATCTGTTGACACCTATCATGGCTATAAAAAACTAAACGAAATGAAGTCGTCTGAATGAAGCTTAAAACGTTGATATCTATTTGTCCCAAATTCCAAACAAACATCACTGGCGTGCACAGGGTGGAGAAAGGTGGGGCAATTGCCCCTCCTTTTAAAAATAAGATGTTTATTTCCACATTTCCAAATTATGATATAACATAACTTGATTTCTTGATAACTTGATTTGAAGGTAAATAACTTCATTTCATACTATAAAAGCACTGAAAACCTTTTATTGTGTCAATTCCTTTGAGATGGTGTCTGAAAATTGCACCACAAAGATATATGAATGGACAAACTTCAATGAAATTTTTTGGTCAAAAAATTGCACCACAGTGGTTCATACAAAAAAATTCTGGTGTAATTTGTTTTTTCAAAGTGGTTCATGGAGCGTTACAAGAAGAGGGTAAATTTAAGGTTGAAAAAATTCACCTTCGTGGTGGTAAATTGTAGAAAAAGCTTTTTATTGAATAATTCTGGTGTAAAAATATCATCAATGAATAATTCTGGTGGAAAAATTGAATCACGCAAAAAAATTGGAGGTGTACATTTAACTGAAAATTTCTGGTGGAACGTTCGCAACACTGTGGTGAATGTAGAAGCATTATTCATGTTTCTGGTGCATAATTTGCATCGTTCTGATGAATGCAAGCTTCATTGAAAATTTATGGTGGAAAATTTGCACCATTCTGGTGCATGAAGCGGCAAAGCCTGAAAATTGCTCCACAAAGGTGCATGGTGAAACAAACTTCACTGAAAATTTTTGGTGCACCGTTCTGGTGAATGGAGGAACATGCTTTATTGAAAATTTCTGGTGCAAAATTTGTATCGCTCTGATAAATGAAATGAACAGAAAATTTCTGGTGGAAAACTTGCACTGGTCTGGTAAATGAAGGCACAAGCTTTATTTAAATTAAGCTATATTCAAAACTACTGGAGTAAAATCTGCACCGTTCTGGTGAACGGATGGGCAAGCTTTTCGGAAAATTTTTGGTCTCAAATTTGCATCCTTTTGCTCAATAGAGGAACAAACTTTAATAACAATTTCTGGTGTAAAATTTGCACCTTTCTGATGATTGGAGGGAAGCTGATTTACTGAAAATTTATACTGAAAAATCTGAAAATAGGAGCAAGCTTTATTTGGTGGAAAACCTGCAACATTCTGATGATAGGAGAAGCAAGCTATATTGAAAATGTCTGGTGGAAAATGGAAAAAGGATATCTGCACCAATCAGAAGATTGGAGAACAATTGTTATTGAACATTAACGGTGGAAAATTTGAATTGTTCAGGTCAATTGAAATTTTCTGGTGTAAAATTTTCTGGGGCAAGTTGTATTGAAAATTTCTGGTGCAAGATTTGCAACAATCTGCTGCATGGAGGCGATAGCTGAATTGAAAATTCCTGATGTAAAGATTGCAAAGTTCTGGTGGATGGAGGGGCAAGCTTTTTTGAACATTTCTGGTAGAAAAAAACAACAACGTTTTGGTGAATGGACGGACAACTTAAACTTGACTTCCTAGAAGAACCTCAAGGGTATTGAATTCTGAAGATAAGTTACAAAAGAAATGATTTCTGAGGATGATTCCATGAAAATTCTGCGAATAATTTCTAGTGAATAATGCAGATAGTTCCAAGATACTTTCGAAAAGAATACCGAGAAAATCAAATTTTGAGTGAAATTCCAAAGGGATGTTGGGGAAAATTTCAAGCTCATTTTGGGAAGTATTTCTGGAGAATACAGAAGAAATTCTTCTGAAAATTTAGGGGAATTTCAGTTTCAAGGTGTTCTGAGAAAAAAATAGTTCTAAAATATTCTGAGAAGAACTTCAATGATATTGAATTTCTAGGACAGTTCCAAAATATTTCTGGAGAGAATTCAAAGAAAATTCTGTGGATAATTTCTAGTACATCCTGCAGATAGTTCCAAGATAATTTCGAAAAGAATACCAAGAAAATCAAATTTTTGAGTGAAATTCCAAAGGGATTTTAAGCAAAATTTCAAGCGAATTCCGAGGAAAATTTCTAGCGCAGTCAGTTCCAAGGTGTTCTGAGAAAAAATCATAAAGATTTCTAAATATGATTCCAGTGGACTTCTGAGAAGAATTTCAAAAGAGCTCTTAGGAGAGTTCTAAAAAAATCCGAGAAGATCTTCAAGGATATTGAATTCTGAGGACAGACCCAAAGAATTTCTGGGGAGTATTCCAAGAAAATTCTGCGAATAATTTCTAGTGAATCCTGTTATATTTCCAAGATAATTCCGAAAAGAATACCGAGAAAATTAAATTTTGAGTGAAATTCCAAAGGGATTTTGAGGAACATTTCAAGGGAGTACCGATAATTTCTAGCTTATTCCGGGAATAATTTTCTGGGGAAATTCTTCTGAAACTCTAAGGGAATTTCTGTTTCAAGGTGTTCTGAGTAAAAGTCATAAAGGGATTCCGTTAAGAAGTTCGACGATTTTTTTTTTTTTTTTAATTATAGTTTAACTATAGTCACACCCAAGAGCGTTAGGGTCATTCGAAAAAATTTAAAGATAGAACTACACGTTAGTTTTCATGTTTTTACATTGGCAAAAAGAGACCAAATCAGAAACGATTTAGGAAATTCCTAATTGGGGTGACATTCTGCAAAGCAGATTCAAAACTGAGTCGAATAATTCATCAA